GGAGACCCTCGCTGCCAGGTGCGCGGCTGCCCTAGCCGGGGCACGCGCACGCGCACGCGCGCGGCTGCTGAATGCGGCCCGCCCGGGATGCCTGGCATCGCTGTCCCCGGCCGAGGCACCGCAGGCAGCCCGGCCGCGCAGCTTGTCGTGCTGATTCGGCAAAAATGATGCGAAGCACACGGGGTCATGCTCCCTCCTCGGGGGCTGCCGTTGCACATGGCAGCAGTAAGTCTTAAGGCAAAGTAAACCTCCACGAAGAGTTCCTTCCAACCTTTAATCCAGGGGACCTGCTCCCAACAGGCCTACTGAAGTCCTCCTCCTCCTCCTCCACGTGCGCAGCAGCGCGCAGGTACACTGGTGCGAATTCTGCCCCCACGCAGAGAAGTCATTCATTTACTGCTTCCTAAAGACTAGAGGTTTGGAAACACGCTTGCAAATGGAGAGCAGAAGGCAAGAGCCAAGTACCCGACCGTTCTGAGAAATACCATCGTGTTTCTTGCATTCAGATTCAGCGTTTGATTCCTTCCACATCCGTGTTACCCTCAGACAGCACTTTTTCTCTACCCCGATTGCTTGGTTCTTCCATTTTGGCCGTAGAAATCCCTTGCGTCTGTGCAAAAGGCTACAATAAAACTCTCGTTTGTCAATGGGGTGGGCGATGCCACACTCCCCCTCACGCTCCCTAAACAGTGTGGTCCTCTTTTCCATCCCAACAAGCTCTTTGTTCTCGCCTTCAGCTTGCTCAGTTCTCATTTTCTCCAGCTGGATTCTGCCGTCTACCCGGTCCCCAGATGAGACCGAAAGCACTGCTCAACCTGAATGACTTTGCCAAGATCAAACGGGAAGGTTGGGGTTGAGTCTGGGATTGAGTTCAGGTCTCCAACGCCCTGTCCATCCCACGAGCCTTCTCCCCTGGCACCTTTCTCTGACCTTAAAGCTTCAGAATTGTCCTTTCGGTTTAGCTGGTTGCGAGTGAAAGAGCAGACCAGGTGGTACGGGGCTCCCCCACGGTTCATGGCTTGAAGCTAATGCACTGGGGAGAGTGGTACCAGTATGTGTTTTATTTTTAGACAGTGCCAGAGATATTAGTTTCAGAAAAAAACATCAGATCATTCCTTCTGGTGTCTGCAGAGCGTAACAGCTGCTCTAGGGGATTAGCTGTTGGCAATTTGATAGATTTAAAACCCACAGATTGCTATCACACTTATGATCATTTCTTATCAATATCTACCATTTAGTCAAGTTTCAAGGAATAAAGAAGTTTACATATGAAAAACTGTTAACAGTTAAACCTTAAAATGCAGTGTGTTTGGCAGAGTTTCAGTGAGACTGAGGTTAAACGCTGCAGTTTATATCTGATTACAAATTAGACATTTTCACTTTACATAAGGTAGAGGTGGTAGACCTACCAAGCAGCCCTTTTCCCAGCTTCTGTTCCTACGTGGCTGAGTAGTAACTGCAAAGTAAAGCCTGTCCTGAATATGAGACGGACAGAAAAGGAATGTGAAGCTCCCGTTGCCAGCAATGCACACGGATTAATCTAGAGGCACAGGCAACCTTTAAGAGCAGCAGGACACCGTGTGTAACAGCTGCTGCTGCGGGCCACTGATCCCCTCCACAGCACCCCCATTCTCCCTGCTCTGTGCCATGGGTTACTCTGGTGCCCCCCTACTGTAGCCTCCATTTACCTCTGTCACCAAGTGGCAAAGGGTAGCTGGAATTTGGCAGCAAGGCTAAGTGCAGGCTGCAGTAATGGGGTGAAAGAACAGCCCTCAGCACGGAGCAGGGAGGGCTGGGGGAATCGGAGAAAATGAAGGTTGAAAGGGACATGAGGAGGTCACGTCTATTCCACCCCCCTGCTCCAAGCAGGACCAGCCCCAACCACATCATCCCAGCTAAAGCTTTGTCTAGCCGGGTCTTCAAAACATCCAAGGATGAAGAGCCCGCCACCTCCCTGGGTGATCTGTTCCCATGTTTTACCACTATCCTAATGACAACATTCTTCCTAATATCCAACCTCAACTTCCCTTGCTGCAGCGTGAGCCCATTGCTCCTTGTCCTGTCATCTGCCCCCACTGAGACCAGCCCAGCTCCATCCTCTTTGCAACCCCTGCAGGGAGCTGAAGGCTGCTATTACACCCCCCTCAGTCTTTTCTTCCCCAGACTAAATAAGCCTAGTTCCCTCAGCCTCTCCTCACCAGTCATGTGCCCCAGCCCCCAAGCCATTTTCGTTGCCCTCCACTGGACTCCCTCCAACGTGTCCACATCCTTTCTGTAGTGGGGAGTCCATAGCTGGACACAGGACTCCAGTTGTGGCCTCCCCGGTGCCGAATAGAAGAGAATCATCATTTCCCTCAATCTGCTGGCAATGCTGCTACCAACGCAGCCCAGGATGCCATTAGCCTTCCTGGGGACAAGGGCACACTGCTGGCTCGTATTCAGCTTCTTGTCCCCTATCACCCCCAGGTCCTTTTCTGCAGAATTGCTATTAAGCCAGTCAGCCCCCAGCCTGCACCGGTGCATGAGATTGTTCTGTCCCAGGTGCAGGGACGTCAC